ATAAATTAGATGATACATAAATTAGTTTAAATTAAAAAAAAATATGCATACGATAAATCATTAATATTTTAGTTCAGGTTCTAATAATATTTTTATGTTACGGAGGATGTGCCATTCCATTAAATTATTGCATACAATTATTTACGAGAAAACCGGAAAACGTCTATCTGGCTGTGATACTGATTAATATCATAGTCGGTCAGTAATTTAATAACTTGATTCTTCATTATACATTGTTATTAAACTTTACTATCAAAGCACGATATAATTCAGTTGCATATAACAATATCCTCATTTAAGTAAAGAATGCATTTTACAGTATTATTGGTGAATGGGTCTATCATATTTCCTTTGATATTTCGCGTACTTAGCAACACTGGAAGGTACATGTTCGAGGTTCTTGCACATATATTTCCGCCATTTGTTCTAGCTTGCGCTTTAAGCAATTATATTATGTTAAATTTATATAACAGACAGTGCAGCTATACAAATGTGTGCGATACGGAATTTTACATTGAAGATCCGTGTTGTCGTAAGTTTACCTCTATCAAAATTATATTTTTTGTGATTTATAATTGTTTACTAAATCAAAATTAAAATTTCAGAAAATTGTAATGATAAATTTTGTTACAAGGAGTTGAATGTAATGTTGATCAAACAATCTGGCGCTGAATATTATCACTCGGTCACAAATGATATACTTTTAATGATATCCCAAATGTTTGCCCTTTATATGTTGCTAGAGATTTTTGAAGAAAAAAATCGGAGAAAGTGGTATAGTTATTCTAAGCCTTCAGTAAAAAACGATAATATCGTCGAGTCTGAAGTTATGGAGGAAAAGAAGAGAGTTGATGTATATATAAAATGTAAAAAATAAATAAGAAGAAATAAAAAACTCATCTATATAATATTTACATACATATATTTATATATATATATATATATATATATATATATATTATTTTCCTCTTTTTAACTAGATTATGAGGAAACAAAATTATTTCCACCACAAGTTGCTCTGGTTGTACAAGATTTAACAAAAAAGTACGATGGAAAAGTGGTAGTTCAAGGAGTGAATTTTAACGTAAATAAATTCTAATTAAAATTTTTTTCATGTATTTTCATGTACCTTTTTTCTATGTATGTTAAGTAGTGTTAAATAAATTTTGCTCGTTTAGATATATAAGCAGGAGTGCTTTGGCTTGTTGGGATTTAACGGAGCAGGAAAATCAACAATATACAAAATGCTAACGGGACAAACCAAAATATCTGCGGGAAAAGCAGTGATATATGGATATAAATTTACAAGAAATCAAGAAATAGTAAATTGTCAAATACATCATGTATCTTTCTCTCGTTATATAATCGAAAATAATAAAATAATTAAGACACAAAATATTCCTAAATATATTAAGTTTTAAGAAGAAATATTCAAATTTTTATATATATTTAATGAGAAACTTTTATTATATGTTTCATTTTTTATTGTAATTTTTTTGTCTTTTTAAAATTTTATATTGTATCTTGCAAATTACTTTATACGATTATTAGTTTCTTATATCTTCTTATATAAAAAATATTTTCAAGTTTATAGGTATGATAGGATACTGTCCGCAATTTAATGGATTAAGCGATTTTATGACGGGAAGGCAATATTTGCAACTGCATGCGGCACTTCGTGGTGTTCCATATGAATGCATCAACGACGAAGTAAACAAGTGGCTAGATATATTAGGTACTAAATAAAAAAAAATAAAACAAAATTCTACGAGATTATGTAGGTACTTTTAATTAAATAACACCATGAAATATCCTTAGATATGTTAGACTTCGAGAATCTAAAGATCGCCCACTGTCCCTGGGGAGTTCAAAGAAAACTTTGCATATTGCAGAGTTTAATTGGCGATCTGCCAATGGTATTTATGGACGAACCCTCTGCTGGAATCGACTTAATGACTAAACACGCTATCTGCGAAATTTTGCGTCAAATACGAGAAATGGGGAGATCTATATTAATTACTACGCACAGGTTAGATCAATGAAAAAAATACACAGGACTAGTATGAATTTTATGGATTTTTTAGTATGTCGGAAGCAGAAGCAATGTGTTTGCGAGTGGGAATCTTGGTTAATGGCCAGTTTACTGCAATTGGGTCTTGTGAGCATCTAAAGGCGAAACATGGCCGCAATTTTATGTTAAATATCAAAATAGTGCCTGGATATCAGCTTGCACACCTCGAGAAGATAAAAAACATTATTGACGAGACTTTTCCAGCAATAAAGTTCAAAGATAGTTATTTAGTGAGTAAAATACAATTTTATTTCTCGATATTTTTCGATATCCTTATTGCAAAGACACGTTGTTACAATATAATATTTTATGCATACACATGTATTAGAAAAATTAAATAATTTAAATAAATTAAATGCGATCAACATTCATTATATTGATAAGATCTAAGCTAAAAAAAGAAATTTATAAAAAGATAAATATTCTTCAACAGGGTATTCTTAAATATGAATTAGAGAGTGGTATTTCGTACAGTTATGTATTTGATAAACTTGAAAAGTTACGACAAAGATATGTGTGGATCACGGACTTTTCTGTTACTCAACCATCCATGGATGAAGTACTTCTAACTTTAGCGAAAGAGCAGAAGAAACCTCGCATAAAATTAACATTTTACGAATGTTTATATTTTTGGATTGCTCGTAATATACGTCGAATATATAAATAAAAATTATCATATGTTAACTTTCCGTAATATGATTTTTATTATCACATGCATATGTGAATATAATATTTTTTCATATACTTGTTATTTCACAAGTATATCTCTTTTTTTTTGTATATTACTAGTAGCTAATTATAAAAAAAACATGTCAAGTTAATCTGGCAGGAATTATAACAAACATATGTATTATAAAATTATAAAATTTTGATTTAATAATATTATATTAATATTATTAAATCAAAATTATATAAATCAAAATATATTAATATTAGTTATACATATAATAATATAATAATTGTTTAAGCAAATAAAATATATAATATTATCAAATTTTTTCACATTTTTATATCAATAATACATTTGTGTTACAAAACAACCGTTTGTCCTTAAAATGTCATATTTCTGACTCAATTCTAAGACGATTTTTTCCAAGCCAAAATTTTATTCGAAGTTTAGTTTTCAAGATATTAAAAGAAATAGCGAATTTTTTACGGCACGCGTACGGGCGGTAAACAGGAGCGATGCAACAACCATCCGACACGGGTGATTACGTAAGGCGCCCACTGCAATTATTTGTATGTCGCGATATAATTTTAATTCATCGAATTATTATTATCACGCCACATAATAAAAATTCGATTAATTAAAATTATGTCGAGACATAATAAAAATTGGGAATTATTTTTATACTCAGATATAATTTTAATTTAATTTTAATGAGTTATATATAAATATTTCATATAAATCTACTACAAATAAATATTTTATTAAATATAATATATTTACGAAATATAATATATATTTGTTTGTTTAACTTTTTCTTTAATAACAGAAAGTATAGCAAGATCGTACTTATGTCATCACAACACATATGCTGGACATAAATTACAATATCGAAAATATCATTACAATGTAAATTTTGTTAAATTTATAAGACTAAAATACACAATACATGTCGATGCGTGCAATAATAAATCATATTAAACTTTTATATAATTATCTATGCTTAATAAAAATTAATCTTATTGTATTTATTTTCTGCTCTTTTTCGTAAAAAAACACATACAAAAGAAAGCATTGCATTTTATTTATATTTATATTTTTTTAAATAAGAAAATACTTTATTATAGATATTCCAACGAGAGATTTGACATGGAAGAATTTTTGGTAAAGTTATTATACAATCTAATATTTATAAATGCTTTTTTATTGAATTATTATAACCTCGATGTTATACCAGAGCATTAACCTCAAGTTGGAACCATATTTTGAAAAAGAAGGGGAAAGTTTTAAATTTTTCGGAAGATACGACGTCTACGTCAAGATTACTTATCCAACATGGCGCATAAATTTGCACGCAAAAAAACCGCAGATAGAAATACAAAATACTATACTGTCACCAATACAGAATTTTAAAGTTCATCATTAAAAGTTTATAAGCCGACAAGTATTATGTACAATAATAAAACTCATATTCTTATTTTTTACTTCAATTATATATTATCAAAAGAACATTATTTATTAAACATGAGCTTTATCGGACTCTCAGATAATTATGGAAACGTTTTCTTCAGAACTTACACACATTTTAATAAAGATAAAAGGTGAGTAAATGTTGAAAATATTGTAAAATACCTGTAATGAAATATGAGATATTATTCTTTAAGCACGATTCATCATTATAACTTTTAATGTCACCAACTTTTAATGTTGATTAACCATTTCTTGTTCGATAAAATATTCTATTAAAATATGATAGGTGGTTTGTCGCAACACAACTCGGGACAATTGGGGCGCGACAATTGTTTCCATGCTGGGACGAGCCTGCATTTAAGGCTACGTTTAATATTTGTGTTAAACATCATATGATGTATTCTGTTTGGTCAACTATGCCGATACGAGAAGAAACTGTCGATAAAAATGTCATGGTGTGGACTCACTTCAAAATCACTCGTTCAATGCCTACTTATTTCATATTGCTCCTACTATATGATACGCATTAAAGCAAATATTTTAATAAATTACGAGTAAGAGATTTACAAAAGAAATTGACAAAGCAGTTCGTATTTATGTACTTGTCATTCGAGAAAAGTTATATTTAAAAAAATGTAAATCCATGAGAGAATGGTTTTTTAATCAAAATTATTGAGCTTAAGACTTATTTAAAATTGACTAAATATTTATTTTTGTTTATGTAAAAATTAATTTTTAATATCTAAAAATTTTTTACAGTGGAATATTTATATATCTTACTTTTATATAAGAAAAAAGTGTATCTCTTAAAATATCTTTCGAAACAAGTTGATTTAATCGACAATTAAAACGATATAGGTAACACCCACTTTCCTAATTTTCCACAACCATTCTCATTTATGAGTATCTCTACTGCGTACATATCGTTCTCCGTGAGATTCTGCTCGGTGCTACAGATTTCAAAAACGAGTCTCGAATCTTCGTTGAATTCCCGGCATCTTAATCCCACGAATTGATAAAGCTCATAGCATAATTCCGTTTGCACATCCGGTATATAAAATTTTGCGCCTTTATTGTCGTGCATCGATGTCAATAGCTCTTCTGAAAATTTTAATTGGCCGAATTTGGGTGTTTCAATTATGCTTTCTAGTTGAGAGATATTCGCTTGCAACATTGAGATCTCGTTAAGCAACTTCTCTTTTTTCTCATGGTCCTTAGACAATTCTAAATGATGAAAAATATTTTGATGAAATTTCTTATTCGCATATGACGATTAATCCCATATATTGCAATTATTTCATAATATATTTCATGTATTATTTTAATACATGAAAATGTTTATTAAAATTATATAAAATTTTGATAGTATAAAATTCCACGATATCGATATAATAAAAATTTTGCATTTAAAAATCGAATTCAATATTTGATTATATAATTAATAAAGTGTATAAATACGTTATCGTAAACACGTTATTTAATTATTAATTTCAAACAAAATTTATTTTAAAATTACTTTACGTAAGAATAAAAAAGAGCAAATACCTGAATTGATGGAATTATCATTATCCACTTCCATATTCAACAAACATATGATTTCTTTTACTTTTGTCTTTTAATAAAGATATATACAGAAGTGATAATATATGGTATTTAAGTGTCTCTCATATACTTATAAATAACAAATGTTAAAATAAAAATTCGACAATATAACATGTATTTACATAATTGTCATTCGGAAAGGTGATCTTCCAGTACATGTAAAGTTGAAATACAATGGCAAGGTTTATTAACATATTTATTTTTTTATAAATCTCTCACAGATTATCTATTTACTGTAACATTGTAAACTTAATCATCGACGATCGTTTATGTTGGTATTCTGTAATTATTCTTCAAGAATATCAGATTTATAGACATAAATATTTACTTATAATTATTTAAAAGTATAAATTTAAGCATTATTAAATCTTATTTATAGATAAATTTTTTTCATTTATTATATGAGAATTAAATTATATTAAAAATATTCACTTGTCTGAATAATGTAAAATGTAAGGTAACTTACCAGTTATCGATAAGTTACAATCCATTGTAACTCAAATATATTTCTGTAGAAGCCTTCTTTAGACAATTTAATTCACGATAAAATTCAAGACAGAATTTTTTTATAATTTTATTTTCACATATTTTAATGTATACTTAATAATTGCGTTGATCTAATCTGTATTTTTGTATAATTAATTTTTTTAATGTTCTTATTAATAATTTTTTTATTTTTTAAACTTATATTTGTAGCATATACAAATTTTTAAATTCTTTTTTATGTACTTGGCGTTCAATTTTATCTTTTTTAAAAAATTTTTTAAATAGAATTTTGCTTTGAACTATACATAGATCATTTAAAAAAGCCTTTAAGCGCAATATATAATATGTATATTTACGCGAATCTCGAATTTAAATCATTATTTTATAATAAAGTTTATAATATGCATTTTTTTAAATATATGAAAAAATAAAAATATTTCTTCACACATTTATAAATTATTTAGTTAAAATTTTCCATATAAATATATATATATATATATATATATATATAATTAATGAAGTATGTGTAAAAAATTTAACAAAAAATGAATCATACAAATATACAGAAGATAGTGTAAATTATCTGTAATAATTATTTATCTGTGATAAATTATTTAAAACAGAGAGCTCTATTGTGCGTGATTCGCCTCTTTAAAAATGGATGATAAATTAAAGAGAAAAAAGCGCAGCGTGCACATCTCGTTGAGCTTTCATTCTAAACACCATTAGCACTCGTATTATATAAAACACGACTATAAATATATATATCGATCATGTCTGTATCGAGTGGCGTTGAGTTCTCTTCATTTTCTTCTTTTCTATAAAGAAATGAAAGTACGATAGCACGCGAAAGTGCATGTACACGAGCGCCAAGACACGCGCCCGATTTCGAATATAAATAAACGAGACACATTGTTATCTCATTAACTAAAGATGTCAGCTGAGAGTGTTATCGAGCCGAACCTTTGAACCGCGAAGAGAGAAATTCCCGGCGAAAAATCACCCTCGCCTCTTTCCTGCCGCGATAAAACCCACCCCACCGTCGTTCCGACCACTTAGACACCCGTGCCGTGCACCGTGACGTCAATTATACCGATCATTAAATCCCGATACTAGAAACCGCATTGATTGGATCCGGCCGACACACCTGACGTGTCCGCTAATCGAAGGAAGATGATCGCGGAAGGAAGAGCGACCCGATTACGAGCTACAATACAATATACAATGACAATGAGATCTAAATATAGCAGCATCGATAAGATTTGATTTATATCTTTATCAAACGAGGGAGCATTTATAAGTCTTATATTTCTCCCACAAGTGCCGTATATACGCATACAAATAAATCTCTATAATAAAATTGAATTTATTCGTGGCGAGCATCGCACTCCAGGCTATAGCGATCGGTATAATTTTTCACAGCGATATATGGTATATGAAATCGTCTTAATAATATTCTTTGACAAAGAGCTCGTTTGTAAAACTCACTTTCTCGGAAACAATATCAATAATTATTAATAATGTTTAATCATTATTTTATTCGACCAATTCGTCGTTTATGTAAGGAACTCTCTTTTATCGATTTATCACGTTATTTATTAACGCATCGACCTCTTTCTTCTTCGTCGGTACCTATATTGCATTATCCGCTAATTATCGGTGTCGCGCACCATTATTGGATAAATAAGTCGTACGAGCAGATACGCCATTAATTTTCATTCGCACAGCTGCGTGTGTTCGATGTCGCCGACATCGCAATGATACTTCATCGCACTCTCTTCCCTTCGGCCGCGGAAGAGAAGCCGAGAGGAGCTGACCCGACGACTGTCTACGTCCGATATCGACGAGAATGATAAATCCGAATTGTAAACACATGGCATGTGCAACTCCCGCCGAGACGAGGAACAGCGTAAGTCAGAGATGTAACTTTCGACAATCCTGAAGAAACGATCCGCAGATCGTTATATGATATATCGATATGTATATATATATATAGATATTTATTTATTGATGATTCAACAAATTAATCGCAATAAATAAATAATCGATAAGATGCTGATCCCGTTAGATAAGGGAAAAAAGGATACGAGCATTTTATCACGATGAGGAACGCAGTATCTTTCGGGAGCAACGAGCTAATCTTTTCTTGTGCAACAAAAATCGAGCTATGCCTGCGGCGAGGTTAATTAGCAAAAATCATGAGGAGGAAGATAAGATGGTTTCCTTCTCTATCTTTTTCTCATTCTCTCTCATTCTGTCTTTCTTTCGCTGGAACCCCTCGATCTTCTTTCTGTCTTGAGTCGTCTCGTTCTTCTCGCTCTCTCCCTCCCAACGTTTTCGTTAAATCGAAGACAGAAGGGGAACTCCTATCGAATGAATAAAAGACTTTTCGTCTGCGGCGGCGACTGCAAGAAAAGCTTAATTTATAAGGCGATCTTCGACCTCTCGCCTTCGTAAATAGTTCGTTGATATCTTTACGTAAGCGTAGACGAGTACGATGTTGAAAACAGTCGTACGGGGAGAAGAAAGGTAAAACGCGCCGATAAAATAATTACCATTTTAATAAAAAATTATTAATTAACTAATTAGTGCAGTATAAATTTCTAACTTAATTTTCAAGCACGATATTGTATGAAGAAGAAATCTCAAAGCCGAGATAGATCTCTTCTAAATCGATATCTCTATTTTTCAATGATTAAATGTTATATTTAATAAAGGTAATATAAATTTATTTAATTTACTTGTTGGAATAATTTGTAATCGCGTTGTTTATTTACGTGCTAAATCCACTTAAGATTTTTTGAAGTGCGAAAGTATTTTTTATTATAAATTTTATTATGTGTATTTTTTATTTCAATTTTTTTTCAATTTTCTTGAATGTCAGTTTTAGAAATCCATTTTTCAGGTTTCAATAAAAATTATCTAAATTAAAAAAAAGATCATTAAAAATTTATAAAATATTATTTTAAAAAACTTAATATAATTGTATCTGATAAGAAACAGAGTCTCTAAATATCCTCAAGTGTAAATTTATTTTAAATTTCTCAACTAGAGTCCGAAAACGAAATGGTAGATTGAATTTACTATTTTCTCTCTATTCAGGAGAAAGAATGCGCTACCTAACCGAAAGTGAAATGGCAGGAAACCATTAGAGGTTTCACCTGTTCTCGGAATAACACGCACGATCGTAATTTCGGATTTTTGTTTCCAAGTGGAAAGTCGGCGTGAACCTTTAATTCCGATGTTTTTGGAGTCATCGGCCGCGCCCAGGGCTCCGAGAGAATGTGAATGTCGTTGATTGAGGGGGGAAGGGGAAGGGAAACGAGCTTCCGGTTCCATCGCCGAGCCAAAATTCGAATATGCAATCCCTTATATTTGTCACAAAAATTATGTTATATAACGCAGGCATAAATATTATATATATTATCAATAAAAATTCAGCGTATTGTATTAATGCGACCATTAAAAGAGAGAGAGATATAATTTTTCACAATAATTATATTACTCTTCCCACAGTAATTCTCACATAACTTTATGGGAAAATTGATATATCAATTGATAGTGCCATTTTTTAATTATTAATAAAATCATGATCCCTTATATTTGTCACAAAAATTATGTTATATAACGCAGGCATAAATATTATATATATTATCAATAAAAATTCAGCGAATTGTATTAATGCGACCATTAAAAGAGAGAGAGATATAATTTTTCACAATAATTATATTACTCTTCCCACAGTAATTCTCACATAACTTTATGGGAAAATTGATATATCAATTGATAGTGCCATTTTTTAATTATTAATAAAATCATGATTATATTATATAAAAATTCAGCGAATTGTATAATGCGGAAGACATATTTAGTATATTCTTTTAATTGTCTAACCATATATTATTAAAAATTCAGCTTTTTAAGTGTTTTCAATGTAATTAGACAGTAATATATATTTGTGGTTTTTATTAATTTGAGAAGAAAAATAGGAAGAAATTTCGTGCGTATCAAAATTACTTTTAAAAACGTTTTCAGTGTAATTAGAGAGTGGTGTATGAGCCGGAAATTCCGTCATGAGCCGGTACTTCCGGTCCACGGGGACCGGAACTGCTCGCATAGTCGGCTCGCGGATGCCCCTTATATTTAGTTACAGCGAGAACTCGCCCAAAGCCATTTCACGCCCAGCAGAGCGCGGAAACGAGCGTTTACTCGAGATTTCGTTCATAAATCAGGATCTGCCTGAGAGTGTCCTATCGCGCTACTCCTTCCTTCCCCCTTTCCACCCCCTTTGCACCCCCGCGTTGCGGTCCGTCACGCGGGGGTTCCGCTAGTATTTACAATGGAATGCGATTACGCGAGATTGCTGCGGAAATCAGGGCTTTCAACGTTCAGAGAGACGAAATATCACGACTAAAATTATACCATGGGAACAAAAAGGGATAGGCATTAACTCTGAAACATATTTCTTATTTTTAGATCAAGGATGCGAGAATTGAAAAATTAGTATTTCGACAAAAATTCATCACCCGTAATTATCTATATAATTCTCTTTTCGAGAAAATAT